CCAGGGCTTGGGGGGCCCACAGATGGGGCAGGGGTTTCTAAAAGTACCATAAGGAGCTGAAAGCAAACGTCTGCCTTACAAGGTCGTCCTGAGCATTTGCGGTTTCTGGTTTCTGCTGCGTGTTGTTAATTACAGGCTCTCAACAGATGTTTGTCAGTTGAATCAGTTCATTCACTGGCACCTCTCCCTTTACTCTCCTTGATGGGGTGGTTAACCTGACTCTACCAGCATCTTCCTTTCTTGGATCTCACAAGGGAAAGTGGAAAATACGGCTTGTACACTTTCCGTGGCCAGTTCTGTACCTCAGATCCGTTGCCTTCGGTGCCTCATCATTCAAGATTTATGACCTTGACTTGCACTCACGTCTGCATCATGCTCTCTGCCACTGCTGTGACCCGATTTTCCCTTGTTACATATGCTTGCATCTGGCTCACATTTTAATTTTCCACTCTATCTTAGTGCTCTTCCCAGTCCCATGTTCCTTTGTGACAAGTTCATAGGCATGATCCATGGTTAGACGGTGCAATCTCCTGCTTTCTTGTCCTCTTTGAGGTTTACACCAACAGTCTCTATTCCCCGTTTGCCACATAAACAGCATTTCCTGCCTTTAGGGCATCGTGACAAGGCGCTGTTGCCATTCCAGGTTCCCTTGTCCATCTATCTGATTCCTCCACTCCAATCCGGTTGGTCTCAAAGAGTGGAACCCTGACCGGCAAAAGCAGCTCCGACATCCCCCAAGAACTTGCTAGACATGCATATCCTCCGTCCCACCCCAAACCTTCTGGCTCAGAAACCCTGGGGGTGGAGCCCAGCCGCCTACTTTAACTTGCCTCCAGGAAACCAAGTTATCCACTCATGCCGCGAGCCACTGCCTCGACCCCTCTGGTCTCATGTGCCTTCGCCTTCTCCCTGCTCACACTACTCCTTCTGGTAGGAAAGTGCTGGGCAGTTGTTGTGGGCCATTTGAAAACCATCATTACTGGGGTGCCTGGTGGCTTAGTCGGTTAAGTGTCCGACTTTCGCTTGGGTCATGATCTCGCGGTTCGTGGGTTCGAGCCCCGCGTTGGGCTCTGTGCTGGCTGCCAGCTCAGAGCCTGGAGCCTGTTTCAGTCTGTGACTCCCTCTCTCTCTGACCCTCCCCTGCTCACGCTGTCTCTCTCTCTCTCAAAAAGAAATAAATAAAACATTTAAAAAAAAAAACCATTATTACAGACGATTTTAGATCACGTAAAACATCAAAATAATTTTTAACGTTATAAAGAGTAATATAATTTCTCATTATTTCTAATGTCTAATATTAGTGTAAAGAGCAAACTCGTTCTCATCCTAACAAGAGACAGTGAAGTTCTGAAAAGATAAAGGTACAGCGGTACCTGGGTGGCTCCGTCAGTTAAGAGTCTGACTCTTGATTTTGGCTCAGGTCTCGATCTCACGGTTAGTGAGTGTGAGCCCCGAGTTGGGCTCCATGCTGACAGTGCGGAGCCTGCTTGAGATTCTCTCCCTCTGTCTCTGCCTCTCCCTTGCTCACTCACTCGCTCTCTCTCTCTCAAACAAACATGAAAAAAAATAGATGAAGGTACAAATAATCCATGAGACTCCTCTTACTCGGGAAGGTTAAGTTCTTTCTAAAAAAGAAAAACACTTTTTCTGATAATGCTAATTAAAAGGGCCAGTAAAGAGGCTAATAAATAGTGCTGGTTAATAGAAAGGACATGGAGAGTTACATATTCTTCAGCTTAATCAGATTTGGAATTACTAAGCATTAGGAATTCCCAGCTAGATATTGAAATATTAATATGCATAAATTTCATCTATTAGAAGCTCTCCTAAAACGAGACTTCCTTTTTCCTTTTTTTTGAAGCTAATATTGTTTTTTATTTATGAATGCTTCTATACAATTTAATCTTTTTAAAGCCATGATTTATATCATTTTATGAAAAACAATGTTTTTAATTTAAATTCAAGTTATTTAACATACAGTGTAGTTTTGGCTACAGGGGTAGAACCCATTGACTCGGGGCGCCTGGAGGGCCCAGTTGGTTGAGTGTCCAGCTTCAGCTCAGGTCATGATCTTGCAGTGTGTGAGTTTGAGTCCTGCGTTGCGCTCTGTGCTAACAGCTCAGGGCCTGGAGCCTGGTTCAGATTCTTTGTCTCCCTCTCTTTCTGCCCCTCCTTCACTTGCTCTCACTCACTCTCTCTCTCTCTCTATTTCTCTTTTAAAATTAAAAAAAAAAAAGCATTAAAAAAAAAAGAGCCCAGTAATTCATCTCTTACGTAGGATGCCCAGGGCTCAGAAACTTCTTACTATATATGGCTCCAGAGGCAAGGAAAATAAAAGCAAAAGCAAAGTACTGGGACCCCATCAAGACAAAAACCTCTGCACATTAAAGGAAACAATCTTTTTTTTTTTTTTTTTTTTAAGTAGGCTCCACACCCGGCATGGAGCCCAATGTGGGGCTTAAACTCATGACCCTGAGATCAACACCTGAGCTGAGATCAAAAGGCAAGACATTCAACCCACTGAGCCACCCAGGCGCCCCTAAAAGAGGACAATCCCAATTGCAGAAATGACTTTATGCAGGGAGGTGGTCAACAGAGCCTCCTTTCTTCTTATCATAAAACACTTGAAATCCCTTTCCAACTGGCCATAGGGAGAGAGCTAAATAAATGCCAGTTTATTCATCCAATATAATCAGCAAGATGATAATTACGCAAATTATAATGCTTTTAATAGTAAACAAACAAACAAAAAAGACCCAATCTGATGCACAGTAAGATTACAACTATGAAAAAGATGTACAGAAAAAGAAACTCTATCTGTTAAGGTGGTGATATGATCAGTGTCTTATTTCTCCATTTTTAATTTGTTGATGGAAATGTATATTTGGGCATTAGGACAGTGGAGTTCTCCAAAGTGGTTTGGGCCTTTGTGACTTAGCAAAGGTACCTGTAATGTCCGGGGCACTACATTTTTGGAGAGCTGCTGTGTCCCAAGGGGTGTTTCTCTGTGAACGAGCTGAGCCTCTAGCCCTATTGCCAGATGCCTTGATGAAGCTGAGATTCAGAGAGTCTAAGGAATCGAGTTGCGTTGTATCTTTTCCCCACCTCTGCTTCTGTGATTCTTTTTAACTGTTAAAAAGGGCAGCAGTCGTTTGATTCCACTGTTGCCCCCCAAGGAAGCAGAACTTGGCAATAGCGCTAAAATCTTTCCTACTCCGGGTGTCTTAACCCAGGACTTTCATTACACTGGGAGCATCAGAATCCAAGTGGTTTCCTAGAGATGTGTGCCACCGAACGGCACCTGCTTCGTTCATTATTCCACTGGCTGGGAACCCGAAGCAATGCTACTTCCCACGGCATCAGTGTGAACATGCTAAATTAAAGCGTGTTAAGGGGACTGGGGACCATCCCTTATGGTACGCCAGTGCGTTAACTCACCCCCACAGCCCTTCCCTCCTGTAGATGCTGGGTTCAGCTATGCCCTTCCCATAGCCTTGGCCTTACAGTCTGCATTGCTCTTCTTCTCTGATTAATGAGGAGGAATCCTCATTTTGTTAATGACAATTACACTGACTACTGTACCATTCCCGGCATACAAAAAGGCTGAATGAAAAAGAAGGAAAAAAAAAAACAAAACCCCATAAGCTTAAAGCATGTCAGTGCTTTATATCATCTGCTTCAGGTGATTTTTTTTGGTATCATATTTTTTTTCTATGTATATACAAGATTCAGGTCAAATGCCCTATGTCCTTGAACCATATGCTGTCTAAAGCCTGTTGGTTTGTAGATTACACTGTTGAATGTACATTTCATCAGACCAGTTCTAACCAGGAAGGAAGGGGACAGACAGAGCATCCTTCACTGCGACACATTGTTGCATATAAAAATAAAGCCTTGGGAGGAGCATAGCCAAAGAAAAGGATTATTTATACAAGATTAACCTGGGAGTCATTTTGCTGTTTCATTTCTACAAGTCAGTCATCTTTCTTCCAGTTTTAAGGCAGGTAATTGCTTTGCAGGTGTCTGTGTTCCTGACTAAGCATAACTTAAGAATCTTTCATCGGGATATTTATTCATCTCACTGGAACAGCTTCCAGTCCTTTTTAAAAATTTATTTGACTTTAATGCCTAGTTATTTAGGACTCCCCTGGGCTAAGATGAAATCACACTGGGGGAGTTTTGATTTGACAAATGGCCACTGGGTGGGAGCCTTTGATCCTCAGCCCTGGTGTTAACTTGCTGCTGCCCCTTGCTTTGTGGGGGCTTCAAGCAGGATCAAAGTCGGCTCGCCCCCAAGGCATGATGACTGGTGGACACTGCGAGAAGTGGGGCCACTTCCCAGCATCCTCAGGTCACTGCAGCTTTGCTGTTTTGGTCTGAAGCCCTCCAAATGGTCACTACTCAATTCCTTGTAAGGTTTGAAGAAGGTGGTACCCTCCCAACAGCCAGTGAGCAGTGGTCCCTATTGTCAGGAGGCGAGCCTGGGGGCACTTTGAGCCCTCCCAAATTTTATCTATCTGGAGAAACCAGGTGCCAGGGGGAGGAAGGAGATAAAAATGATAAATTTTGCTTAGATCCTTAGAGAACCATTCTTCTGGCATTGAGCAGTACGAAGCCCTTCGTTCCCTAAAGTAGGAATTCCTCTTCCTGGTGTTCCAGTCTCTGAGGCCTGCTCAGTTTTTGCCAGCTTTCCAAAATAATGAAGAAACGTTCATTTTAATTCACTTTCAGTAAAAACAACAGCATACTAATTGGGGTGATTATGGTTAGAAAGATGGAGAGCAAGGGGGTCCCGGAAATTGCTGCCCTCGTGGTCAGATGCCAGAGGTTTAAAAATAAAATAAGGGTCTGAAAAACAAAAGAACAAGTTCAGGGTTTGCCTACTGACCTTGATAAAGATCATTCAGAAACATTTACACCCAACTAGCAGACTCTAAATGTCCCCCTTCCCTGGAAGGCAGGCGTTGTCTCACTGTGCAATCTCCTTCTTGCACTTGCAGACGGGGAGCTCTCCATATCGAATGAGGATGATTCCCTGGAAAACGGGCAGTCCCTGAGCTCCAGCCAGCTGTCTCTGCCTGCCCTGTCCGAAATGGAGCCGGTCCCGATGCCCAGGGACCCCTGCTCGTACGAGGTGCTCCAACCTTCAGACATCATGGATGGGACAGGTAAGTCTCCTAGCAGAGCTGAAAAACAGGTCCCCGGTATGGGGGCCGGACATGGGGCTCTGTCTTGAACCACCTGGAGCATAAGAATCTCCTGGAAATGAGGACGAACTGGCCCCATCGGGACACTGACTGTCCTATAGTTTTTCAAAACCTTTTTTTGTAATTTTAATCTCTTCCAGGAAGACACACCCTTTTTTGTCATATGGAGGATTTAAGTGTCGTTGGTTTGTTTCTAACACTCATTTCTGTTAAGCTCAGCTAAGGAACCCTACACTTGGACACGGTTCCCACCTAGGTCACATTTGTAAAGCCCTGGCACAGCCCTTAAACCCAGGCTCGGTGTCCAGCCCAGCTGATGATAGTATCTGTTTACTGTACACAGTCAATGTGTTAATTGGCCATTGAATCGTATAGAAGTTACTGGTTAACTCGTAGGCTGCCAACAGATGATGTTTGGTACCATCGACTGTCACTCGTTCTTTGGTCCAGAGCCCTCTGAGTGGTCCATATTCCTCCCTTAGAGGGTTTGCAGAAGATGGGACCCTCCCCATGGCCAGTGAGGAGTGTCAGCAGGAGCCTGGAGGGTCCTCATGGAATTTCCGGAATATGGCTACAAAGGCCATACCCTTTTTCCACACCGTAGGCAAAGTCTGCACTAGCAGAGCTCAGGTGGGAGCATGAGAGAGCTGGCATCCCAGAGGCCATGCCAGGCTTCGGCTTGGACCTCCCGAGTCATTGCTCCATCGGCGTGCCCAGTGCTGACAAGGATGGCGTCCCTTGAGAGAGGGGGAGAAGTGGGTGCTGTGAGGGTCATTTGCAGGGCTTTGATGCTGCAGGGGACACTGAGTTACATTCCCCAAGCCCCCCCCCACCCCCCACCCCCGGCCCTCCAGGCTGAGAAGACTTTTCCAATGGTAGCGGTGAGTTGTGTTTCCAATCCAACCTGCCTGGTGACGTTGGGATCACACAGATTTGGCTGTTACAGAGAAATCTGTCATCTCCCTAAAATCAGAATTCTGGTCTCATTGGCCAGGCTGCCATCTTGGGATGAAGGCCCATGCTAACCTCCCCACCCCCTGGGACAGCTCTTAACTGGAGCCAGTCAGGGGTCTCCCATGGCGGAAAGGAAGAGTCATGCCCAATGGGGAGCAAAGAGAAAAGAGGGAAGTCAAATGAGAAAGCCACAGTGCTGGTATGTAAGAGGAGAGGGGAGGCAGGGAGACAGAAGGGCATTGTCTTGGTGCATTCTCTGCCTCACTGAGGTTCGGGGGGCCCCTAAAACTGCAAGGTGCCTCCAAGGATCCAGAGTCTGGAGGAGCATGTCAGCCTCTAGGCTGCTGTCTTCGTCCCTTGGTGTTCCACACATGGGGAGACCCAGCGGGCAAAGACCAGACCCCAGCATCGACTCTCTCTTCCTCCCAGCAGAGGGCAAAACAGGCCCAAAGGAAGATGCCAGCATTGGTTTGGTTCATTCAGATGGGGCTCTTTGTCCCTGGTCCACCACACCTGTCATCCGTTGAGTGTGGCGGTGACCCCAAGAGTCGCACTTGAGAGCACTCAGAATTTGTGGCGTAAACGCCCAGCTGGAAGTGGTGAAGCTTGGGATGGTTTGGACAGAATGTCCTCTTGATGCCCCTCCCCCTCCCTTTCTGCCTCTGCCTCACTGATGTGTCCCCTCCCCCCACCCCACACCCTCGCTTTACTGTTTAACACTCCGCGTGTCCGTGACAACGTGGAGCGGGTGCTCTGCTGTGTTGCTCGCCCACGTCCCTGTCCTGTGTGCTCCCGCCGGTCCCCACCTGCACTGCGTTTGTGTAATGTCACCTGTGTGTCGTGTGGTTGTCCCCTCAGTGTCTGAAGAGAGTCCCTCTGCCAGTGAGTCTGGAGCCCTCCTGTCCCAAGATCCTTCAGCCAAACCAGTGCTGCTACTGCCCCCCAAAAAACCTGCTGCTTTCTCTGGAGACCATGAGGAGACCCCAGTGAAGCAGCTGTCCCTTCTCAAGCAGCCCCCCGCCCTGCCTCCCAAACCCAGTGCCAGGATTGCCAACCACGTCACAGGTGAGTCAAGATGTCTTCCGGAAGCGTGCAGCCCTACCTTCCCTTCACGGGATGATCTCTTGCTCTCACTCTCTCACTCTCTCTCTTTTTATCTGAGGCCCGTTGCACCTCTTTGGTGAGGTTGCTCTGTGGGGCGTCTGGGTATTTCCACGTACACTCAGTCACGACCTGGGTTTGTGTGTGTTCGTCACGAAGCATTCGACATACGCCTTGCCAGCCATATGCCAAGAGCCTTCGTCGTGTGTATCTGTAAATATGTGCTTTGGTATTTATGTGATTGGTTCACGAGTATTTGCCCGGCTAGGTGAATTAGCTTCAATGTCAAAATCTTTGCAGAGACGAAGAGGAGTACCTTGTTCCCTTTGTAATGAGTTTGCCAACGCTTTAAATTTTTTGTCTTTAAATTATTGATCTGAAGCCCAGCCTGTTTCCTTTATTAAAATTCATGTCTGTGCTGTTTGTTCTGTTAAATGAAAACAAAACCAAAAAAAAAGACAGTCTGCAAAGTATTGTGGGAAGGACTCTTCGAAGAAGAATAAGCTTAGCAGTGTTGTCCGAAAATGCTTTTTATGTAATTACGTTTGAAGTGTTAGTGAATGTCCGTCCCCACAGTTGTCGCCATCTTGGATGTACTAGTGATTGAGCATCTAGTAAGGACTTCACTGCACGCTAATGGGATACTACTTTCGGATTTAAAGCTGTGGTTTTGGGGCACCCAGGTGGCTCAGTCGGTTGAGCATCCGACTTTGGCTCAGGTCATGATCTTACGGCTCGTGAGTTCGAGACCCGTGTCAGGCTCTGTGCTGACAGCTCGGAGCCTGGAGCCTACCTCGGATTCTGTGTCTCCCTCTCTCTCTGCCCCTTCACCCTCTCACTGTCTCTCTCTTAATGTCTCTTAAACATTAAAGTTGTGGTTTTAATTTAAAGAGTAAAGATTTCAGGGATTGTTTCTCCAGCTTTGTTTGTAATTCCATCTGATCAGCTGCCTCTTTGCAAGGAGTTTCGTATTTTTATAAATAGTTTCTGATGGATCTCTTTACATTTTTTTGTGTGTGTGTGAGATGTCATGGGGTTGGAGGTAGAGAAGAATATTCACCTGTTTTGTAGTAGAAAAGCTGATTGTTTAAGAAAACCCAGTGCCGTTAGGAGGGCTACAGGAATTCTGCAGGAGAGGTACGCTTCCACCCTGCGCTTCCTAACTCCTAGTCCAGGGAATGAATGCTGCTCCTGTGACAGAAGGGTGTGGAGTCCCAATTAAACGCAGGGTTGAGTCAGACTTCTCTGTCAACATACGTGTCCATCCAAGCCAGACGTTTGTGGTTTCAAAGAGGAGATTTCCATTTAAAGGAACCATCCCGTTCACATCAGTAACACCTTAGTCCAGTGTCCCAAAATATAAATGCATAGAAACCCACAAAGGAGAAGGTACCCTCATAAGCTTCCCCCAAGAGAGAACCACTGTCCATTTATCTGTCCATCTAATAAAAATCAAATGCCTGCTATACATCATCTCATGTCACCAGCTTTTTACATGTGGTGTGATCTTTTGTGAACTGATTCTCCTGTTCGTAAATAGTCCACAACACAGTTTTGTTAGCTGCTTGGCATCGAGTGAGATTTACTTGTCTGGCCGCTCGTGGGCTCTTCTGTTGTTATTGTAAAAATCACAGCAGCGAACATCCGCCACAGCACTCATAGCTTAGTCGGCATCCAAGTTTCTCCTGATTTATTTCTAGAATTAGAAGCACTGATTCTAAATCTAGAAATCAATGACGTGCCTTTTAAGAGCTAGCGGACTTTGAAGGTTTTGATGCCAGTTTTCCCTGAGGATTAAATATTGCAAAATAAACTCCTGCCTGTGGTTCAGATTTATCCATCACACTTCTCGGTGGAACACTGGGCTAGGTATCAAAGCAGATGCAAGGGAATGAGTTTAGTGGATATGTATGTACACGTGTGTGTGTGTGTGTGTGTGTGTGTGTATGCATGTATGGATACACACACACATATACACACAGTAGAGTACCAAAATATCTACTGTCAGGAGTATCCTTTGAAGTTCAGTGTGATCTGAGAAAAGGGCATAGAAAGGCTGAAGTTTGAGCTGACCCTCCAAGCATGAAGAGTATTTATAGAGAATGAGGGGAGAACATTCCAGAAAAAGAAAAAAAAAGCCCTGGTCAGAGCCCCAGAGATGGCAGTGCTTCGGGTCCATGACGAGGTCGCCGAGCTGGGGCCGAGGGTCCTTCTCGGGACATATTAAGAAAGGACTCACTAGATAAGGCATATGAGCATTTAGATTTTGCTCCCCCGGCAGCAGAAAGCTTGGTTTTTGAGCAGGGGAGGGATGTGATGGTGATTAGCCTTTAGAAAGCCTTCCTAGGTCACCGTGTACAATGAACAGAAGGAGAAAGTTGAAGGTCTAAAAAGGTCAGCCCTGTGCCTTGTTCTCTGGCATCACTAGTTGAGTTAAATTGAATAATTTAAATTGAGCTAACAAGCATTTGGCCGATCACAGCAGGAGGAGAGAGGACAGTAGGTAAGACATTTTAAAAGAAGAATGGACAGTTTCTTCACCAGCAACAGCCTCTCATTTATTGAGTTATCTGATTAGTGAAGACACCCTTCATTCATTCACAGCTTCCTCCAGGAGCAGTGAACTTGAGTGGCTTGGTATCCGCAGGACTCTTGATCTATGAGCGACCGAGGGTATCTGAAGTTAGCCCAGTCTCTCTGGCTTCCCACATCCCTTCCCAAGAAGAATGGATTCTTCTACTCTCTGTAAACCTCACCTCCGCGTAGCTAGGATCAAAGGGAGAAACATACTTGAGAGCTGATAATCCTTACCCTGTTGTCTCTGGTAGCCTCTTAGATATGAGGAGCACAAGCCAGGAGGAGAGGTGTGTGGGCTGGAAGCCTGGTGCTGTCCTTCTGGGCTGAAACTCAATCAGACGTGCTTAATTTCTGTAAGCGAACAACCAGTCATAATGAATCTGCATCACCATGAGGCAGTGACATTAACCCTGTTCTGTTCCTAATTACTTTAGAGACATCTGGGCTATGTCAGAAAGAATTAATAAACTAGGAATTCTAGAACTTTTGTAGCATGCTCTCACTGTCTGCTGCTCTGTTGACATGTTTGAAAGGAAACAGGACAGTTTGAAAGACACCAAGCGTGATTAATAGAGAGCGACAGTGGCTAATGGCCCCGTAGGATGCTAGAGGAGGAAGCATGAGCCTGACCCGGAGCTCCCTCCAGCTATGCGATCAGGCAGAGACGAGCAGAAACATCTCTGCTTTGCTATTTGCTTCCATTTCATCCAGAAAACCACTATAAACCTGAAGACTTTCCCGTGAGTTTTCTTAGCTCTCCAGCCAGTAGATAGATCCTTGCTCTCCCAGAGTATCTTCTTTTGTCCACATCTTTCTTCTTCCTTCTGATCCTCTCCAACAGCAGCATGCACAGTAGCTTGCAACATAGGGGCGCCAGGTTCCTTTCCATTCTGGAAGGACCGTGCATAGCAGGGCTGGTCTCATAAGGCATGTGATCTGAGATGAATGATCCCCAAATGCATCCTTCTTCGAATGATGGCGGACCCCAGAGGAAAAGGGTTGATTGAGGCAAAAACAAAAAACAACCGGGAAAAAAAAAAACCCACCCACTGTTGTCTCCTATCTTTCTGAGTCTTGTCAATCATCTCTCCCGCCACCCTGGCTCTAGGAGTCAGATATGAAACACTGCATGAATAATCCATGACTCTGCATAAGGTACCTATGATTAGGTGCCCCACAGGTGCCATGTGAATGAAGGATAGTCAACCAACGTAAGAGCTGGACTTCACAGTCAGGCATTCACACTTGGGTGATAATGGCAGCTGCCATTTTTTGAGAACTTTCTGACATATCATTTAGCATCATGGAGTCGATACTATTATCATTATTCTCTTTCCTGGAGGAGGGAAATGATATTTGATTAAGTTAAATGCCTCAGTCATGGTTATGTAGCTACTAAGTGCCAGAGATGAACTCAACCCACTTTGTTTGACTCTGCAGTTCTTACTTACAGCCATTAGTGTCTACCCCACTAAGCTACCTATTCTTAAAATTCAAAACAAGAGAATCACGGGTTTCCTTTTCATGTTTTTGCCTTGTGTGTTTCCGTCTGTTTAGTAAAAGTGGCTCCTTTACTTGCATAACTCAAAGACAACAGTGTATCCGGTCTTTTCAAGCATAAGTCATATTTTCAAGGCACTGGATTATAAAGAGAAAGACCTGAATGCATGCAGTTGGGTTGAGTTGGGAAGAATGTGCTAGAAGCAGACAGTCCATAAGAGTCCAGAACAGTGCAAATGGCACGGGAAGCATTTGGCCACAGTTAGAGATGGCAGTTTGGCAAAGAAAGCAAAGTATTGCTGATCCTTAAAAACGAGTCCTTCTGCTAATGTGAAACCCACCCAAGGCTTCTTCGCACTGTCTTTAGACCCTGAAATACAAGGAAACTTCTGTGGGTTGACGGCTAGTTTCAACATCCCGAAGTTTTTGCAACTGCAGACGTCCCTGGGAAATGACCTCCATGCCCTATGGTGTTTCTCAGCTTTATACATGTCTGATGAGCATCTTCTATCTGGAGCTCATCACCCCAAAACCAACATTAATGTCTTAGCCATCTCTCTAGTTTTGTGGACACCGCTGTTGGCAGACTCTTCTGCAGTCACAGTCTGAGGTGTGATTTTATTATTCCTACTTGGCTCCCTTATCCCCTGTCCTGAATTCTCCCCAGCACCTCCCCCCACCCGACACCCTACTCTCCACCCCTACAAAATCATATACTTTTGCCTCTATTCTTGCCTCCCCTCACTGCCTTCTACTCTGAAGGCACAGGAAAAGTTGGGAGTGGACCCCTGTGACCTTGAACCTCCTCTCTGCCTTAAATGGAAAATCTGAACTGTAACCCAGAAGCCTCAGAAAGAGGTTGAAGGTTCAGTCTCTGGATAGTTGAT